AGACAAATTATTCTTATGCAAATCAGTACTCACCAGTTGCTTCCTCAATTTTGCTTTTGTGAGAAACGATGACATTAGCCAACTGACTCGTGTCTGGCTTCACCACGCAATGGACTATGGCAGGATCCGTAGAAACCAGCTTTGCCTGAAATTCGCTCAAAATTAAGTGCTGTAGGATTGAGCAAGAAGAAACTAAATAGAAACTAAAAAAATTATAATTTAATGTGGACATCTGTACTAGTAATTGAGCAACAAGAACCAAAAAATAGCAAATCTGGTCCGGGCTTAGCAAGATATAGGATGTAACATGACAGCTAATATGTATGTCTGCATAGGCTACGATATAATCACAACGGTTTCTCTTTTACAGAAACTGGACAAGCAAATGAAATAACGTTCAAACGAAGGAACTTACCGCTTTCCTTAGCTTCTGCACTCGATTGGTGATTTCCCTCGCAAGACCTTCCTCAACGAGCGACTCGTCTTCGGAAGTGTCAAGCATGACAATGGTCTAAACGTCTACGTATTCGCGAGATAAGATATGTGGAAATCATAAAAGGCACGAATTCATTCTCTGATCGCACTTTCCCAAACTGTGCTTTGACATAAGCTAATTTTAGATCTATCCTACACCTATTATTAGTCAAGACTAAGCGACCCTAAGGAAGTGCAGAGTTAGAGAAAAAATATCTGTAATATCTTTGAAGTCAACCTAGAGTGGCAATTTTATAATAGTTTTAGCAAACCCACCTTTCCGTCCGAGTGAGTTTCATATCCCTCATTATTGGTGCCGGTCTGTCCACTTGTGTAACTTACGTACACTTCTTCAGAAGTGAGCTCATGGCCAAGCACCGTCAACTTTCCTGCAATTCCGCATCCTAACTCATTGCGCCGAAGCTGTTATACGGACCAACCTTCAGCAAGGAATTGTTCCAGTTCTGCTTCAGTAACTTTGGTTTTCAGATAATCTACGACCTTCTTTTGATCTCCTTTAAGGCGCGCACCAAGCAGTCGGAAGTTAGGATCGGCCTGAGAACACAAGAAATTTGTAAGATCCGATTCTGTAAAGTTCGGTGCTGGAAACAGGAGAACCCCTGTTTATTGAACTCATATAACCCTTGGCAACCAAACCCTCACCTTCAACGTTATGCCATATTTATGCTTATCTTGAGATACTGTCAGCATACGGACGTTAACTTCTGACAGAATGTAGTGCTCAAGACTCTTGAGATCCTCCAAGAATTGGCTTTCACGATTGACAACAATCATTTCTTTCAAAGGATACTGTAAAAAAGAAACATATGACAAACGACGAGCAAAAAGTACATGGTTCACCTACCTTGACAGGGATAGCTTTTCTTTCGCGTAGCACTCTAACCAAATCTATACAACTCCTCATCGCTTCAACTCTCCGCTCAATCGACTTGTCGA